GACCACAGGCTGAGGCACAATGAGCCTCGACCAAAACAAAAGTTCCTGGGGCTCGGCAGCTTTCACCTGATCAATCAACTCCTGACTGACATGCTCGAGCCTCTGTTCGGCAACACTCGGACAGAGCCATTGCCGATGGAACAGGGAGTCGGGTTCCCCGCACAAAGGACAATCCCCCCCGTGGTCATACCCGCACGCTCTCAACCGATCTCCCGTCCAACAGGCACCTGAAAACACGGCCGAGAGCCAATATTTTTGCCTGGCCGTGGTCTTACGTGAACGGAAAAGCTTAGCGACAGGGTCTGGGCAGACTCGGGCATCATTGAAATCATCTAGATCAGTGGCCATCTTGCGCTCAAGGGCTCTCTGTACACCAGCCTCGAGCTGCTTGGCCACTAACGCTGGGGAGGTGTACATTAAATCAACCACGCGATCGCGGTCATCTCTCCACAGCGCAAAATTATCTGCACGCCACCCAATACGATGGAGGGAGAGGAGCATTCTATGCACTGGACCTTTAGACTTACGCCAGACGGTGGGGCCTAACTCAGGAGAGGAACTCGATATTGCACGCCATATCCGAATGTGATCCCGAAAAGAGAAATGGCACACCGTGGGCTCCGTGAGGCTCTGCCAGAGGCTGTTCGACCACTGAAGTGCTGGGGCAACCGCCTGACGCCACGCAGGGTCTCCATGAAGCACGCACTTCGCTGTCAAGCTGGCTCCCCGATGAGCAGGGGACTTGCCTGACATGAGCACAGAACGTAAAGAAGCCAACTCATGATCCGAAACTCCTAGGACCATGCTACCGAAACCTGCTGCTGGCCGTACTCCTGCTACATATATCTTGTTAATACGCGTACGGTCCCTGGGAAGCTTCTTCTTATAGTGCTGGAGTAGCCGGCTACGAATTCGCATCTCGTGAAACCGTTGCCGCCGCCGAGCTCTAGCCTTCTTAGCCGATAACCCCTGACCAGGTGCTAGGTCCACGCCCAGCGACACCGTGGAGTTCGTGGCCGAAGAAGGGCATATTGGCTGAAGTCGCCTGCGCAACTTGGAAGCTATCCTGCTGGACGACGAAAAAGATACCGCTTTGTCTTCAGCTAGCCGCACACCTAAACGTGTCTGAAAGACCCACTTCAAATCTTTCGCAGCCGTGACCAAATCGTGCATAATGGCACTTTCAGGACCATGGGCCGAAACCGTGTCGTCGTCGACGTACGATCCCAAACTAACCCCAGGATTTCGGCTAGACCAAAGATCAAACTCGAACATCGCGTAAACCTTCACGAAAACATCATTGAAAATGTCCCCTGCTGGTAAACCATTTTGCGCAAACTGAATGAGCGGGCAGTGATGAGCTCCCAGACGGAGTACCCTCGGGGACCTCCAGAGGTTGTACAAGACTTTTATGAGAACCGTGGGTATACGCCAGTACAGGGCCCGATCCCTCAGCCACTGGAGCCGAAAGGACTCATAGTACTTCATTCCGTCCCAAATGAAACCTGCCGTGTAATCGCCCTTTTCGGAGGTCTCCTCGGCTCTCACACTTTGCTGCCATATCGATACTTCTGCAGACTGCCCCGCACCAAAGACCAGTAAGGCCGCTGGGCCCGATCCAGGAAAGCATCAGCCTGAGGTCTCCGAAGTCGCTCCCAAACTCGAACAAAAGATCCCAGAAGAAGAATCGGCCTGAGACCTCCTTTGGGCTTCTCCAGTAAAGGCAGCAGCATCCACAGTAGCTGCGCGGGGAAAAGGCCCAGCCGCTCCACGGCCTCGTAGAGCACGGCCAGGCACGTGAGGCCCTCGTCGGAGAGGGCACCAACATGCCGCGGGTGAAATCCATCTAAGCTCTGGGCGGTGTGGCGGCTGAAGCTCAGGGACGCTTTCCGAAGTTCATCAACGCTGGCCCGAGGAAAACATTGACGATCAGGAATCCAGGCTTCAGGTGGCTTCAAGCCCGCTCCCCAGAATCTTCCCAACGTCTGAGCTTCATCCTCCAGAAGGGCGTGAGGATCCGCAGTAAAAACTCCAGGCGCACTCTGGATAACTGTCGGCTGCCAAACCTTTTTCAGCTTCGTAAAACGATGCATTATCCGAGCTGAGCCAGCAAGGGCCCGTTCCTGCCAGATGTCCCACGACTCCCGCTGCATTCGATCCCCATCTGACCCAGCTTGCTCATAATCCTCACGAACATCATCTAAAAACTGCTGAGCTTGCTCAAGCCACTCCTGCTGATGGAAGCTGCTGTGGTGTTGCCAGCTCCTCGCCAGAGTGCGCATGGCACGGAGGGAGGCATCAAGGCGCACAGACAAGCCTTCACCAGGGCAGGAGTCCTGGAGCGATACCTGAAGCTGGATGCAAATCTGCACGGCATCCTCGGTCGCATCTTGCACCGTCAGGCCACCTCCAACCAGCAACGATCTGGAGCTTATCCTCAGGATCCTTCGGGCGATAGAAAACTGAAACCCAAGACGACTTGATCGTTCGCGAACGCTCACCCAACTCCTTCGGCTCGAAACCTAAAGTGCGGGTAAGCTCCAGCTCAGCGACATCCACAAACTGCGCCCATGCATTATTCAAAACACTCCAGGCCACCGTGGCCTTCTCGTGCATGGCCCAAGCCGCTGCCTGAGCAGCATGAGCAAGAGCGCCTTGCCACGCTGGAGGTTGCGGCCGCGGTCCGAAAGGCACATCAACAGGGAGCCGCTGATAGCTACGATGCACTAACTGCCTGAGGGAGAGAGCATCTGCACGAACCTTGAGTTGAACAGGCCTGTGGGGCTTGACATCCCAAGACATGACCGCAGCAACTCCCGAAATCAATCTAGACAAGCCGGGGCCCATGACGAAGAAATCAATGATTGTGTTCGTAGACGGGGTACGACACGTGTGCTCAATCGGCGCAAGAACCAACATCCCCAGCTTGCGTGGAACTCCAGAAGCCTCCAGAACCTGTGGTGTGAGATTCCAGTCCCCCGCGAGGATCGCATGAGTTGGGTCATGCACCTGCTTACCTATCTTCGCGATCATCTGGATGTTGGCCTCGCTGAGGCCCTCCGATGTCTTCAAATAAACCGAGAAAACCGTCACAGTGGGCCATCCAGGAAAATCCACCAGAACCTTGATAGCTCGTCCAGGAACGACTGGGCCAGGACCTTCTGGAGGCCACCGTAAACCAATGCTGAGCCGTGCGAAGACGGCAACACCGCGCGAGACCTTGCCTGTCTCAACGTTCAGGAACGAGGGGCCGAACACAGCGTGGAAACCAAGTGAGCGTGCCGAGGCCGTCGCCTGTCCCAAGAAAGAAGTGCTGATGCCTATCTCCTGAGCGCACACTATCACCGCCGAAGTCTCACGCAATCTTCGCCGAAGTGTCTTCCAACACGAACCGTTGAACGTCTCGATAAAAAACGGGTCCCCACTGGCCACCTTGGGGCCTCCACGAAGAGGTGGAACAGGTACACCAGCAGAAGACAGCGGAATGCCTGACAAGAGAGGCGCACGGCAGCAGTGAAGGGCGTCACCCGCACCGCTGCTTCTTCGCCCTGATACCAAGCTGCTTGAGCAACTCCGCAACCTCCTTCTCGTGGTCGGGGCCCTCCTTTCGCGCCGCAGCAATGACCTGCTGCACCTTCTCGTCGGAGAGCTCCTCCATGTCCACGTCATCATCACCAGCACGGACCTCGGCCGCTGCAGGAGCGGCTCCTGGGGCTGCACCATGTCCGCCGCCAGGCTCCTGCGAAGGGGCCTGCTGCTGGGCACGCGCCGCTGCCGCCTTGGCCGCATACAGCTGCCTGAACTTGGCGAACTCGGGCGAAGCCAGCATCGTCTTGACCCCATCCGCCTCGGGGCCCTCGAGCACGCTCGGGTCCAGCTCAAGGTCGACCTCCACCTGCTGCTCGGGGGCCGAGGGAGCCACCTGCTGCATCGCCGCCTGCAACTCGATCTTGAGCGCGTCGATGTCCACGCGCAGGCTGCGCTGACGATCGTTGAGCTCCGCCAACGCCCGCTGCGCCTCCTCCACAACCTTATTCTGCTCCGCAATAGACTTGTCGAGAGCCTCGTACTTCTTCTGCTTGTCCGCCAGCTTGTGGCCCAGCGTGGTGGCGCGGGACAGCACTGGCTTCTTGGACTGCACTGCAGCCCGCGCCGCCTTGAGCTCACCCTCCACGGTCTCAATGGCAGACGCTGGCACTCCATCACACTTGCGAAGGGCCTGCAGGGACTCCTCCAAGTGCTGCACTCGAACACGTAGTCTGTCCTCATCAGAGGGCGGTGCGGCTTGGGCGTCGCCGCCACCGCCTCCAGCCTGGGCCGAGCCGCCACCTCCCCCTCCGTTGGCCGCGACACCCGCGGGAGGGCTCGACTTGGCGACAACCTTCTCCATGATACGCTTCTCCATGGCTGCCAGCTGGCCTGACAGATCGGCTGGGGGGCCCTTGGCCCACGCACCGCGAGGGCCGCGAGGCTGCCCAGGAGGACCGCCAGGAGGAGCACGAGCCGATGGGCCCAAAGAGGCAGCTGCAGTGCGCGCGCGCTCCACACTGGCCCTCGGGGCAGACTGCCCGCAGACGCAACGTATCCGACAGGCGAAATTTTGGTTCCTGCCACAGCTTGGACACCCCCAGTAGGGCGATCGGGGCCCTGGGAGTACATCCGCCTCATCGCGTCGAGCCATGCAATGCACGGCTTGTCTCAGGAAAGCTTGCTCCACCAGGAGCTCAGGAGAAGGAGGAGCACGAGAGGAGGAGGAGGAGGAGGAGGAGGAGGAGGAGGAGGAGGAGGAGGGAGAGGAGGAGGAGGAGGAGGAGGAGGGGATCGAGTAGGAGGAGGAGGAGGAGGAGGCGGAGGAGGAGGTTTCGAGGAGGAGGAGGAGGAGGAGGAGGAGGAGGAGGATCGAGGAGAGGAGGAGCGACCCCCAACTTCCCCCTGCGACTGCACCGGAGGCGCAGCCCTCCCCGAGGCCCGGCGGCGAGCAGAGCGGCGGCCGCCCGCGCCTGGGGCCGCTCGCCCGCCCGCCCAGCAGCCTCTGCTGCGCCCGGGCCGCCCTGGTGCGGCGCGGGGGTCGCCGCCGTCGGCCGCCGAGCGAGGAGGCGGAGCGAGGAGGAGGGGGAGGAGCGAGGAGGAGCATCGAGGAGGATCGAGGAGGAGCATGGAGGAGGATCGAGGAGGAGGATCGAGGAGGAGGATCGAGGAGGATCGAGGAGGAGGATCGAGGAGGATCGAGGAGGAGGAGGAGGAGGAGGATCGAGGAGGAGGAAGAGGATCGAGGAGGAGGAGGAGGAGGATCGAGGAGGAGGGGGAGGAGGAGGAGGATCGAGGAGGAGGAGGAGGAGGAGGAGGATCGAGGAGGCGGATCGAGGAGGACCTCTGGAGGCCTCCGCGGAGCAGCTCTGGACACCTGCCGCCAAGAATCTCAGGGGGCCGCGGCGGGCCGCCGTCGACGTCGCTCCGGGGGGCTCCGGGCGGGTCCCTCGTCGCCGCGGCTGGGCGCGGCTCGACGAGCTGGGAGCTAACCATGACGGGCCTCGACGTCGACGTCGTCAGTCGTCGTCGTCGCCGCCGGCCGCAGGCAGGCCTGTTACTCGCTCGGCCAAGCGCAGAAATCAGGCAGTGTCCATGGGGGGAGGGAGGGAGGCAGCCGTGGCAGGGGAAGAACGACTCGGGCGAGCTGGCCCGAAGGGGCTTCGACATGCATCCACATCTGAAGCCGAAGCGAAAGATGGAGTGCAGAGAACAAGAAAGAAACCCACCCTGCGGGCCCCATTCGCGGCACATCGTTGAGCAGACCTGCAGCCTCCAGTGATCACAGCTCCACCCAGAGAAGCAATCAGACAAGGTGTCCAAGGTGCGGGTGCCAGACCATCCCATGGCCACGCTGAGACATCTGCGGCGGTCTTGGAGGGCCCCAGGGGGGGAACCCAAATCAAGGACCCCCCCCTTAAACGGTGGCATCCGAGATGGCCCCATGAGGTCCTCCAGGGCTCCCAAGATGGCCCCAAGAGAGTCCGAAGAGGGACCCAGGAGGGCCCTCAGACCCCCCACGAGAGCCCCGGCAGAGAGAGCCACAAGAGGACCCAGAAGACCCCCAGCCCTCCTCCTCTCCTCCATTCCTTTTCCTTATAGATAGCTTCTCCGTGTCGCACCTCGAGGCTATTTTCAGGGCGGTCCGGGAATTCCGCCTGAGATTTCCTCACCATTTATGACCCCGAAGCGTAAACATTGACAACCGTTTCACAGATGGAGGGCGGGCCGTTTTCAAAATTTGGCTCTCGCCTTAGCGCCGCGCACATTCGTTGTAAACATTTAAGCATCGGCAAGGGTTTCACGGATTGAGGGCGGCTCCTTTTCAAAATGTGACTCTCGCCTTAGCGACGCGCACATCCGTTCTTTAGACTAGCAAGAGTTTCACGGGATCCCAAGATCAGCGCACCAGGAATGGTGTTTTGGACGGGTTCAGGATTATGATGGTGCAACAGTTGCATTGGCTCGCGGTGTTGAAGTCCCGGGAGTGGCGTTCTCTCACGATTCAAGACCGTCAAGACGCAACAGTCAGGTTGATCCGTGGCGTTGGAATCCAGAGAACGATGTTTTTGCATGCGTCAGGGCCTTCGAACGGTTGTTTTCCAACGAGGCAGTTCCCCGAGTGGAAATGAACCTAGGGGCCTATGAAGAGGGAGCTTGGACGGAGGGTTTATTCCAACATCATTGATGACTCTTGGGTTTACACTGGTCCTCCTCCTCCTCATCCTTTTCGTCCCAATCCTCTCCCTCGTCCTCCTCCTAGTCTACGTCGTCTTCCTCTTCCTTGCCCTCGTCGTCCTCCTCGTCCTTGCCCTCCTCTTCCTTGTCTTCCTTCTGTTCATTTTCCTCGTCTTCCTCTTCTTCTTCTTCTTCCTCCTCCTCCTCCTCCTCCTCTTCCTCTCGTCGTCGTCCATGCCCTCCTCCTCCTCCTGTTCCTCCTCCTCCTCCTCCTCCACATCCGTTTTTCATCGTTGTTGCACGCTTTGATTCACTACATGTGTCTCTTCCTCCCATTTCCCGACACCTTTCATGGGCAGCGTTTCTGAATGGGTTGGTGGCGATGCGCGAAGCGTGAAGAATTTTGTGTTCTGCGACTTCAGGAGAGGACAACCCCCTTCTTAGTTCTCCTCCTCCTCCTCCTCGTCCTCCTCCTCCTCCTCCTGTTCCCAAGGTCTCCGACGTACATAATGTTATTTCTCGTCTAAGCTCGCTGGCGGGCGCCAGAACTCTAGACACCATCCCCCGGATCCGCTCCTCATATGATGTGATCACCTGGGGGCTTGAAGACGGCCCCCAGCGGCCCAAAACGCGGACAAAAGACGCTCGTCGCTTTTTTGGGCGACGCCCAGACATCTATGTTCGAGGCCATCTGCTGGCCCCTGCACTGGTCACCCTGGTCCACATGTCCCAACCCATCCTGGGCGGTGGCATGCCGACGACGAAAAGACCGTGGGCGGATCAGCTACTCAAACCACGGCGCTCCGACTCCTCCTCCTCCTCCTCCTCCTCCACGGACTCGTCATCGTCGTCACCGTCTTTGTCGCCGTGGTGCCATCAACTCCACTCCCGGCGGCCCTTCTGGACCGCGAGCTCGGGCATCTGTCGTGGAATCAGAATCTTTCGTTCGCTCGCGCTGCCTGCAAGGTCGCTCGGAGAGGCCCTCCACTCTTGCGGGGTCCATGCCCTGAACATTAAACATTGACCGGGGACCAGTAAGGCGTAACGTGAGGGCGATCCATGGCCGTGCCCTACGCCTACTGTACGCCCGCATGGCCCTCTGGGGCTTGCCGCCAAGCCAACACCGACGCTGGCATAGACTTTCCGCGCTTCCAGAGGCAATGGCCAGGCATGGCCTCAATCGAACTTGAACGGCTGACCACACGATAACAAATCAACACCATGCGTAATGCGTAGCCGTCTGCGCCACACGACTGTTCTACGTCCTGCATCGAGCCGCCACAATCCAACTTACCTTCCAGATCAATCACGCCAACGGCTCTATGATCTTGTCGACCCTTGCGG